AATATTTTAAAATCCATTGAAATAGTTTCCTATTTCCCCACCCCCACCCTGCCTTATCATTGACATCAAATGTGGAAAATCTTGGGAAGACAAAACATTATTTAAATAAAATGATATGCCACAATTTCTTTATCCATTCATCTTATATGAGAAACCCAAAATATAAATAAGAACAAAATGAAAGATGAATACAGGAAACTGGGAGATAGATCTTCTGCAAAATGGTAGGGCCCGGGAGATGGGGCCATGAAAAGAACCAAGAGGTGTTGGGGACCACTACCGATTCCCCACGGCATCTAATCATCACGTGCTGCACACCTGTACTAATAAAAATAAATTTTTTTAGAAAGGAAAAATAACCAAGATGAAGACTCTTGTAAAAACCTTATATTGGCAAATGTGGAAAAAGCACAGGCATTGTTCTATGGTGGCTTTCCAGCACAGTAATGAAAAGTTACCCAGAAAGCAATTGCCATCTTTTTGGAACAATGCAGGGTGAGCTGACATCAGACGGCCTAGGACCTCTCGGGGGGTTGAGTTTGTAACCCTGCCATCAGTTCCTGTCCTTTACCCAGTGCCATACATGAGGGTAACACTATGCAGTGTAAATGGGCATTTACTAAATAGTTTTACTATTATTATATAATTATTGAGAGTTTAGACTATTCTTTTTATTCAAATTTATAAAAGCATTTCCATTTTTGACTCTTTCATAGCCACATCTTTATGGAATAAAAGCACTGGAACGTCACTGAGTAACACATTGGAGCTCCTCCAGGAATCGCCACATTTATTTTCCAGACATTAATTAAAAATGAGACTGTGTGAGTTTATGGACGATGCCAATATGACAGAATCAAGTGGATAATTTCTGTATTTTGAGGCCACAGTATGTTAGTGGGACTTGATATTAAAGTTACATGAAAGTCCCAATGTGTAGGTCATTCTTTACAAATACATTCAGTGAAAAGTGGTCTAGAAAAGCCTGTTTCTTCCCACTTCCTGCCCAAATTGTGCACATGATTATTTTTGGAAGAAGTTTTGGCGAAATTACCTAAAATGTCCCTGCTGTATAATTTGGTAGCAATATGGCTTTTCTCTTTTGAAACTGATATTTTGTGCTCATGGATTGGTTTTACATGACATCCTTTTGTGGGATTTCTGAGCCGACTGAAAATTGTGTCGCCCTCTTTATTTTTCTCTTGTGAGAGGTAACAGCATTTGGAAAATAGATGAGGTCTTAAATCAAGCAGGTGTAGGTTTTTCACTTGCCTCATGTAAGGTACTAGGAAATGGTCTAATTTGGGGGGCTTCTATTTTCTTAACTGCAGCAGCAGAATGATTTCATGCTGTTTAGGGGTGAATAAACGCCAAGAGTAGTCCACAGGTCTTGAGTGTCTAACCCAGTCCTGCCCCTCGTCCCTGCACTGTCACTAATCTGTGTGAGATCACTGTGGGCTAAGGCTTGCTCCAGTCCCCACCTGAGCCAAGACTGCGTATGTGAAGTGCCTGGTGAGCCGTGGCAGTGGCTCTGGTAATAATAGTAGTCACAGTTGCTTTTTAAAAGCAGTTATTATCTTTGAGACGGGGTCTCGTATGGAGACCTGGAGTTCTTCGGTCTGGAGCTCCTGCTCTGGAGTTGCCCTCCTGCCTCAGCCTCCGGTGTTGGGACGACAGGCACAAACCAGCAAGCGCAGTCCGTGGTTCCTTTAGTGACTGGAGTCGTTGGACAGCAGCCACACTTAGACTGAACCAGTTTAAGGATGTAAAGGGAAATGAGAGCGCCCAGAACTCAAAGTGGGGTTGATCCCCATCCTCAGCATCTGTGCTTTGAAACATCACATTTCATTGTAGATTTCTTTGGTGTCTTTTGAGATTTGACATTTACTGAATCCTGGCGCTATATTGCATAGAAGAGGCACTTCATTCTTAGTGGGAAAATATTTTAAACTAATATTGGAAAAAAATTTTTTTTCTGAAAACATGTTTCTGAAAAGGCCCAGTTGTATGGGAGAGTCACTTCAGTGGTGACTTGGTTAAGCGACTTTGGGGCTGATCCTCAGTCGGTGGTCCAGGTGTTTCTTATGCAATAGGATAAAAATCCTGGTTTGGCATAATAGTTTATCCCCCATAGTTATATTTCTCAAATGTTGTAACTGTGTGGATCATTTCTGTACTCTCTTAAACTGCTATTTTTGCTAATGAAACATGTTTTCAGAAAAAAAAATGAAGATGATTGTAATGTCTTACCTAGTGATCAGTACAGTTTTACATCCAAAACTTACTCTGATGTATTAATTTTATAAGGCATATTGTATAAAAACATTGTTGCATCATTTTAAATCATATCATACAAAAAAGTATGATTAATAATATGAATTCAACAGGATCTGTTAATTTATATCTATTTTAGCCTGAGCTATGGACTTACTTACAATTGGTAAAAAGTTGGCTACCTCAGGGAGATTTGAAACTCAAAAGACAAACAAGGAAAAACACTAAAGTGTGATCCACTTTCGTTAGAACTATGTATATTTAAAGCCATTAAAAATCTCAAAGTGCTACTTGAAATAATATTCAGTGGGCTGTGCAGGGATTATTTACCCACTTTGCTGTTGTTTATTAGACAAGAAATACGAAGAAGTATGTAGTAAGAGTCCATAGAAAGCACGACAAGGGACTAAGAGCTTTCCTGCCCTTCAGAATGCTGAACTATAAATAGTTCCTTAACTCCGAGGGAGCAACTAGCAATTTCTGTTTGTCCAGAATTTGGCCAGGACATATAAAGGTTTGATGTGTTTGAAATACTCTAAAATCAAATTAGCAGACTTTGCCAAGATGTATGAAATCCACTTTGTGGACTTCTGCAAAGAAAAAGAAAGTACTACATCTATAAGAACAATTTTATGGAGTAAAGTTGTTTTCTCGTATTACCATTCCATCTGTGGAGATCTGAGGAAAACAGCAACTGCATTGGAGGCATGGCTTCCTCCACAATCCAGGCCACCGGAGCCAGCGCGAGGCCACCCTGCCCTTCTGTAGCTGACCTTCGTCCTGTACCCTCTGACTTCACTTTCATCAGGGCCCAGGGCACAGGGCAGGGAAGTGGGGCCTTGGTATTTCCCTCTGTCCAGCACCCCAAGCCCTTTCTGTGTGGGCCGACCATGGACTTAGGGATTGACGGGACTGGGGCTCAACCACCAACAGGCCTGCCTGGGAGTTCACCACGGAAATGAGTGAATCAGTGCTAAGGAGCGGTGGTTCGGGGTTCTTTCCTCAGAGGGAGTCTGTGCTGGGCCAGGGAGCCAGCTACAGCCTGCAGAGTCCATGGTCAGCAAAGGCAGCATGGTCCACCAAAATTTTTCCACCTTTCCTCTCAGATAGACACCTCACATCTTTTGAGCACACCCTTGTCACGTTTAAGTGGAGTAGGTTTGTGTTGTGCACAGCCCGGAACACAAGTGATTATGACAATTACTGCTATTTCTCTTCCATACATAAAGAATTGAGTCTTACTGAGGTTAAACAATTGTGTGCATTGTAGTTATGTAGAAAAGGCAAATCTGATTCCCACATCTCCGTGAGGAGCTGATTCTTTCCAGCTCGCTGCCCTCCCAGATGTCAGCCTGCCCGGGTCTCTCTGGAGGGTGAGGCTGCTGCCTTCCTCCTGCCACTCCTGACCACAGATCTCAGTCAGCTTCCTGTTAGGATGCTCATCCGCTTCTGCTCCTCATTCTCCTCCCATACCCTGCAAGGCGCAGTTAGCACCGACAAGGATTCGGTGAATGAGGACCAAGAGGCACAAAATACCCCATTAACTGAAAATGCCAGCATGGTTTGCAGTTGGTGTTAAAAATATGAGATCCATTTTAAAAACACCACATATGTTCTTTACCGATGATGACTGGGAAATACGTTAAAGTGATTTGCCTTAGGCATATAAAGACAAACCTATAAATGCTTCACCTAGTAAGCACTTATTCCATGCTCATTGTGACCAGGGTCTTATTACAGATGTAAGCAAGACTGAGTCTCCTCTGCTACGCCAAGCTAACAGACTGAGAGGGAAACAAATGATCTCACAGTTCAGATTCTGAGATAAGGGAGCGAGCGTGGCGAAAGAGGAGTGATGAGGTGGCAGGTCCACTGTCAGCAGCCGCGGAGCCACTGAGTGGGTGCAGCCCATGCCCTGGACAGTCGCCCTCCCCGCTGAAGGCTGGAGCAAAGTCAGTGGTGTGAGAGTCAGACAACAATAAAACCCAAAAGCAAATATTACCTGCAGTCTTAGCATAGTTATTTTTTAGACTCTATACTCATCTTGTTATCAAAACTTTTCTTAAATAATTTCGACATTAACTGTGTACCATTTAGGAATAAGGTATAAGACTATGTTTTGGTTTAAAACAAATGTAATACCAAAATGATGCATCTACAATGGACACTTGACTCACAAACTCAACTTGTTAGCAAGGGCTGTTTGTAACTCAAGTTGGTCAAGCTCCTCTACACAGCCTTCAAAATCTCTCTCCTGGGTAATTTTAGGCCACACTTTCTTCCAGGCAGATCTCAGTATCCTTAGAGAGATAGCAGCCCAGGATTTCTCAGTTTAACCCACATGGGCAAGGATGTTGTCATGTTCCTTCCAGAACTCTTTAAGGGTTAAATCTGTATCTGAGACCATCTGGAAGAATAAGCGACTGTAACTTAAGACTTTGTTCATAAGTTAAAACTAAAATTCTGGTCAAGATACAAGTTGTTCATATGTCAGGCTGCTCGTAACGCAAGGGTCCACTGTATGTCTTTAAGTATTAAAGCCTAATGCAGTAGAAATGACAAAGATGTACGTTTGTGCGTGTGTATATCAAACCATATGTGCATGTGTGCATGTCTGTATATGTACAAAATAGGATGTGCACTTACTGATACAATCTCCATTCTTTACAAATCGTGACCACAGCCGAAGAAAGAATGACTCCACAATGTTTTGGTGTCATTTTCAGATAATTACTACGGAACCCCTAAGCCTCCAGCTGAACCAGCACCACTACTATTAAATGTGACAGACCAGATCCTTCCGGGAGCCACTCCAAGCGCTGAAGGAAAACGGAAGAGGAACAAATCAGTGAGCAACATGGAGAAAGCAAGTATAGAGCCTCCCGAGGAGGAAGAGGAGGAGAGGCCTGTGGTCAATGGGAACGGAGTGGTGGTGACACCAGGTGGGTCCTTCATGGTCTCAGAGGCCTCTCCTTTTGCTATTTGAGATGTTGACATTTGTCTTCGTGTCAGTTATACATGAACTTGTTCTCTGCGTCTGGTATTCAGATATAAATATCTCACAGTTCTCCTCAGAGAGAAATGATTGTGATATCAGACGGAAAGGATATGATGCTTATATCCAACATAATAATTCTAACTCTGACATATTCATTAAATTTCTTTAATTTTGGGTTTCACTTATATAATAATAAATGAAAATATGGCAAATGGCTTGGGGCTTTCAGAAGGTTTGATAGGTCATGAATATATGTAAAGTTGTGAAGTTTTTTAAATATGTAAGAAACTATATTCTTTTTTTATAATTTTATTTTATTGGTACATTTTCGGTGAACAATATAATGACATTCATCATTGGAAATTTGCACCTTTACATAATCTCTCTTGGTTCTTATTTTTCGCCCTTCCCCTGCCCTCCCTTCAACCCCTCCATCCCTCCCTATTTACAAAGACTTTGTTTCCATTTTTTCATTTTCTCATATTAATTCC